CCCTTACAATACAACCAAGTTGCGAAAACGAGGTCAAATCAGTTCCATAATAATTCTTATTTCATATATTCCATAATTTTAGATTTTCAAAAAATCCATTTAATTTGAAGCAATTCTAATTAGTCTTGCCAAAAACTGAAAAGTATAAACAAACCTGATGCACAGGGAGGTTGCGTAGTGTCACACCGTTGCTAACTGTCAGACTGTTTAGTGCATTTGGCAACTGAAAATCGGTGTGACAGTAATTTCCATTTACTGTATAGGTGTGGGCAGCCCCACTCACGGTGGAGGCACCGACACCGACGTTGACACCACTCGCCCCAGCGATCCTATTGGAAGCAAGAACGAATCGCTCCTTCAAAATGTAAGAGGTAAAAATTAAGTAGGGGAATGATTAAAGAGCAAGAGTAACAAGGTGAGCATAACTAAAATCTTAGCAGTTCTTACAAGGATAAAAGGATTCGTTACATGCTGTAAATTTTTCTATTACATAATCAATGTAAGCTATTTTTCAAATTAAAATAGGTGAAAGGGTCTTGTAATCATCAAAACCACAAAATTTACAAAATATTGCCCAGTCGAAAAATTCCTAGAAGTATTTTTCAGCAAAAATAATCTGATATGCATGTTGATTGCATACCATAAGAAAACGAAAAACTTTTTCAAGTGCCAAAAAAAGAATAAAAGTACTTCAAAAATTAAAGTGCCTTCAGATAAGAAAGTTTTTCGAAGAAGAAAATACTGAGTTAATATACCGAGCTATACACCAAGGAAAGACTTTGACTCATAAGTCTATCTTTAGAGTCATAATGTAGTTTAATTATGGCATGGAGTCTAATCTCTTAAATTCCCACAAGCTAGATTATTTATCAGTTCATAATAGTGACAAACGCTGTTAAAAAATATTCGATCTTATATCACTATTACCACAAATAAACTTAATAAAAATGACTTTTACTCAAAAATAGCGGAGCCATCTTCCTTTTGAATGGTCCAAATGTGTGAAATTAAAAGTTAATCATCTTAAAAGAATGAAAAAAATATTTATATTCAAAGGCAAATCAAATTAATTTTATGGAACATTTTCAGTAACTTGCCCTCCGCATAGATCAATTAATTTTCGAAATATTCATACGTTGGTCACTGAGTGTACAGTTGTTGAAAAATCCCGCCTACTCAAACAACGGCTGTGATGGTAAGAAGCTTAACTGAGCAATAAAAAA